GAATTAACAATATATAATATTTTTAATATAAAAAGAAAATGATTACTGTACAGTGTCCGAGAAGTATCGGTATCGACTCGTGTCCTACATACCCTAATGGTTTTTTTTTTGGACTCCCTAAAGAGTTGGGCTTGAGGCAGCGGCATCTTGAGCCTCTCCTCGGGTCTGGCAACATGGGGACACCATAACTACTTCCAATTTAGACATTTAACTCTTTATATGTTTTCCTCTAAATATTTCAGTTTTTAATATTATAATTGTTTAGGTTACCTTTATCATTTACGTGGGGACACCATAACTACTTCCAATTTAGATATTTAACTGTTTGTATATTGTCCTGTAAATGTTTCAATTTTTTGACATTATAATTGTTTAGTGTGGGAATACCACAAGTGTTTCGATTTTATATACACGAGGAGGAAGTGTTGAGTTTGTATGAATTTGTTGTTGAAGAATGTTCTAATCATTAAACATAGTCTTCCGACGAAAGCTAGTCGTACATCATTGTGTACATAATAGATGACATGAAAGAGATAAAGAGAAAAAAAGATAAGGAACGAAAAGAAATTCAGTTATTAAAATCTTTCTCTCTCTTCTATATCATTTATTTGTACACCATTGTATACATAATAATGTACAAATAGCATTAATCTAGTTTTCTACCCTTTGTTGTAGTATGCATTGAGGTTCTTTCAAGCACTTTTGGGTAATGAGTTAATTCTTGTCTTCAGATGGCTTCACTTCAAGAAAGTTTGACTAAATTCAAGAAACAACAAGAGAAGTGCCAGTCAACTCTTACCAGCATTGCAGCTAAAGCAGGATCTTCTAAAGCAGCTTCTTTAAAATCCACATCCTCAAGCACGTCATCTTCAGCGAATGCAAAGTCTCCAACTCCTGTTAAATTCTCAAATGATACAGAACGGCTTCAACATATAAACAGCATTAGGAAAGCCCCTGTTGGGGCTCAAATCAAACGTGTTATTGATTTGCTTTTTGAGGTACACATCTTTTTTTCCTATTTTTTGTATCCCATTTTGCCTGTGAGAGTCAAATTCATTTTAATTGTTTTTCTTCTTTCCCCTCTTTCTTTTGACAATGTAATTGATGACTAGGTGTCCTAATGTTCTGCTCCGCTGTGCCTTTTTTGCCATAGCTTGGTAAATGTCTCAATAATTCCTAGGACCTAAATACTGACTTCATGATCAGATTCAAATGTACATCAATATATCGTTGTGTATCAATGCAAAGGGTTTTGACTGCGTTAATCAGGTCTCATAATTTGAAGTAAGCATGTTGAGATGGATTGGAGGAAGCATGTTAAGACATTGATCCGAAAGCATCTTTCTTATCGACGAGTAATGCTTGAAAATGGTGCCTCGTGCTTTTGTTTCTGTATATTGAAATTTTGTGGTGGTTTTGCTAAGGAGACTTTAACAGAGATACAAATTGTAAAAATTAGAGCACTTGATGTATAATTAATTAATTGGCATTTTGGTTGTACTGTAGTCAGACTTTCTGTATTGTGGTTTCATATGTTGGGCTTTCCTAAAATTGTGTTATTTGCGTAACTAAGCCTTTTCCATAAATTCATAGATATATAAATTTCTATATAGTTTGTTCCAAAATGCTGAAAAGGAATTCCTTTTTGTTTTTAACTACTACAGTCTACAGGTATAGTCCTGGTCTCCTTGATAGAGCCAGGATGGACAAGAATTTTTATTGTAATGGAATAGTTGAACCTCTTTGAAAATGCTGATTGATTGGCACCAATTCAATCCAGTTGAATAGAGATACCTGGTGATGTTTTTAAGGAAATCTACATTGGCTATCGTAGCTGCATTACAAATTATGGTTGAATGATTCATTCCACTTCATACCTAACTGCAATATCCTTTCTAATTCTTTGTGAGTTAAGGGGTCATTAAAATTTATTTACTATTATAATATGGGCACAACTGCTATCCATTGAACACCCCCTAATTTATTGATATCTCTTTTTTTAAGACAAGGCAAGCCTTTACGCCCGAGCAAATAAACGATGCATGCTATGTGGATACGAATGCTAACAAAGCTGTCTTTGACAGTTTAAGAAACAATCCAAAAGTGAATTATGACGGGAAGCGATTCTCTTACAAGGTATTTCTGTTCGCTACTAGTCCATTCTCCTGCCTAATCTCTCTCTTTCTTTTCCGTTAATCCTTTTCTTCTAGGATAATGACTTCCATAATTTGGTTGCAGTCTAAACACGATTTGAAAGATAAGAAGCAGCTTCTTGTCTTGATACGAAAACTTCCTGAGGGTGTTGCTGTTATTGATCTCAAGGATTCATATCCAAATGTCATGGAAGACTTACAGGTATTATTACTTTCCAAACAGTTGGTTGTGTTTCAATGGATTTAGTGCAGACAAATGTGAATTTATCCTGGCAACAAGTTGAAGCCCCCGGTCCAACACCATAGGGATATGTTTTAATTTTTCTGGTAATTTCTAAGAGGAGTTTCAACTTGATATTGCTAGTGAAATAACAGTTATTATATCCCTCCATGTCATGCGTTGCATTTATGTCTTTTCTAGTAAGGCGGATTCTATATTATTAGCTGTGTAGGGAAGAAATGAAGCTAATATCTTGTCCATCGTTATTTATTTTTTATTTAGGTATTTTTCTCTCTTAACAAAACTCCCTATCAATTAAAAATATATATGTATTTTCAGGTTTACCTTTTGTTACAATGTTTGAATTGTTTTATTAAAATACTGTAAAAAAAATGGAAATGCATATTTCAAACTTATCATGAAGGATAAGGGTAAAAGTGTGGAAATGCTTATTTATTTTTGACTTACAGGGAACTTGTTATAGGAGATAAACCTTAGGGAAAGTTCATATAATTTTTGAAAGGAAAGGTAGTGTTTATAATATTGAGTAATTTCAATAAGTGTTTCTAGAATTCGCTCTTTATTGTATAATTCCTTGACCTTTGAGAATTATCTTCTCATGAACAATCTTTTCGTAGTCTTTGAAAGCTTCGGGCCAAATTTGGCTACTATCAAACTTCGACTCACAGGAGGACATAGCATATCCAAACGATCCCCGAGCAGTTATTAAAGTTGATGACGATCTGAAACAATTATTCCGGGGGATTGAACTCCCACGTGATATGATTGACATTGAAAAAGATCTTCAGAAGAATGGAATGAAGCCAGCTACAAACACTGCTAAGAGGAGGGCCAAGGCACAGGTCCATGGCATTGCTCCCAAGCCCAAGACAAAGAAGAAGAAGCACGAAATTAGCAAGAGGACCAGACTTACCAATGCCCATCTTCCGGAACTCTTCCAACACCTCAATGTCCCTGGCTCTTGATACTGGATCGAGGTATAGGATATACAGTGTGCATATTGTTGAGATACTATTACTGTGATGATTTCTCGTTATCTTTCTTGTGAATGAGCGTCTTCCTCATTCCAATGCTCGACTACTTGGATATTTTAATACTAGTCCTATGGGTTGCTAGAACCCGAGTCTAGGCTCTGCAGAGGTATGACCTTGTTGCACTGTAACAATAACTTGTTTTAGTTTCCTGTGTACTATGAATTGCTTTCAATAATGTAACCAGTTCCCTTTCAGGAGAATATGTTGTAAATTATTTTTTCAAACATGTCTTTTGCAGTCCCATGTAAATTAGATAGTATCGAACCGGCTCATAAACGTGCACTTGGTCATTCATTAAATGTTTTGGGCAAACAGATTTTCTGAAATGGTTTTGTTTTCGCCCGAAATTGCTAGTGCTGGAAATAAATAGTACATTAGAATGTGTAAAGGGTGCATTCTGAGATTCAGAAGTAATCAATACAATCAGCCCCTTTTGCATCAAAGTCCCACATCGACATTGTCAATAATTTCAGCAATCATATTGTCCATGTCCAGATCCTTCATCGGTTTGAAGGGTCTCTTCATACAGAACAAACTGACGAAAATATCCCACCTTTTCACAAATTTGAAGGCAACCCGTTCTGGGCTTTTCAGGGTTGACCATAATGTTGACTTCTGCCACCCCTTTTCCAACCCATTTTTCACCTCAATAACCCTATAGTCTTGAATGAGTTGCGCAGCTTGCAGTGTTCAATAAATATAGTCTTCTGCAGGCGACGATGGTTATTTCTGTTAGCGCTGCTACGACTGCTTGTTTGGTGGTGGTGTTTTTGTCCTTTTTCTTCGATGGTTAAGGCTCAGAAACAAGTGTTGGTGGAGGAATTTCTTCCGCACCTTCGGCCGGTTGGGATCGAGTTTATGTCGCACTGAATTTTTTAATGAACTATGCATTTTTCTCATTTTTGCTTTACTTTTTATTTGCAAATAAAAATAACTCATTTAGCAACTCGAAGATAGTATTTGAAATAATTAAAAGGAATTTAGTCAATTTAAATTAAAAATAACTTTAATTTGTTATAAGTACTACCCCATTATAAGCCTTTGGAGAAAATTGAAGACAATATCATCTCTATATGCTATACTCAGTTACAATATATAATTTCCTTTTTTCTTTTCAATTTATAGGTGGTGCTTATTTTTATTTGTTTATTTATTTTTATAGTTGGTATCTATCTTGTACATGCTAAACTTACTTGTACAAGGCAATCCAATTGACTTCACACCTCTAGATTCAGTAAGATTGTTTCAAGCTTCAAATTCAATATATTGAATGAATCTGAATGTAGATCAATCAATCGTGTT